CTTAGTGTGGGCTCCGAAAATTCGGCCCCGGCCTCCACTCGCTGCGCTTTTCTCTTTATTTGGCGAGGGAGTTTTAACGGGATTAAGTTCCGGGGTAAATTTTGGAAGGCAGATGGATTTGTAGATAAGACACTACCCAGAGATTTCGCCCTCATTTTGTGAGGACTTTATGATCTGAGTTCTATTAGGGTTAGGGTTTGGTGTAGGTTTGAGAAAGAGAGTTTGGAGGAGGAAGAAGAAGATGAAGGAGAGGAAGGAGAAGGGAGTAGAGGAAGAAAATGGTGAGAAACTTGGAGAGAAGATGAGGGAAGATGAAAAATGGGAGAGAAGAAGAAGAAGGAAGGAAGAAGAAGAAGATGGAGAAGAAGAATAATGGAGGAAGAAGGAGAAGAAGAATGGAGGAAGAAATTTACCTTGGAGAAGCTTGGAGGGAGGAGGCCGGCGGTTGGAGAGCTTGGAATCGCAAGAGGGGCGGCTTGGAGCGTGAGTTTGGCGTGAGAGTGAGAGTGGGGTTGGGATGAGGGGTTTAAGTGAGGTATTTAGGTATTTTTTTGGGTTTTTTTTATTAAAAGAAAATTCATTTTTTAATTTAAAAAGCTCTCTCCCTCTTTTTTTTTTTTCAAATTTTTTTAATTAGATTGCACAAAAAAATAAAAATAAATTTTTAATCTTGCATCGAGTCAGTCGTCGCGTTGTCGCTCGCACGCGTCGTCGTCTCGATTCGCGCGCCCAAAATTTAATTTTTCGCCGACCGGCGACCCCCACTAATATGGGTGTCGATCTTAGCTGTTTCTGTTGCTCCGGACGCATCGGCGCTGTCCGTTTCGCAAACGGAGTTCGTCTCGACGATTTTGGATTTTCGGGTCGACACGCGTCGGGTGAATTATGCGCGATTTCATGCTTTTTTTATTTCGAAATTCACCTTGCGCTGTCGAATTGAACCCGACACCAGTATGAGGGTCAACACTTAGTTGATATGCTTATTGAACTCAAACGAATTATAATTCAATGTTGTTTGAAGCATTGATTTCGAGATTTGATAGGTTTTAAGTAACTTGGTTCTGTTGTTTTAAAAACTACTGATTTTGTTGAAGTCTTAAAGTTTGGGTGGTTGAAATGATGAAGTCATCTATGTGATAATAATATATGATGGAGTCTTATAGATAACTTAATAATATTCTATTAGGTTGACTAATTTGTATTGATTTTAGTTTTGTGTAGCAATGAAGTCACTGGTAGCCAAGTTTTGTACGAAAGAAGAAGGCTAATTATATTAAGATAGAAGTGTAAATTTTTCTGAAGGATAGTGCGAGAATTGATTAGATTTGAGAGATGGTAAGTGTAGCTATTCTTGAAGATAATCATTAAAGATTAGATTTGGGCAGGTTTGAGTGTGTATAAAATAAGTTGGAAGATGTGGCAATAAGAAGGTTAATATAATTAATATGAAAGAATTAGAATGAGAATTTGGTATACATATGACTAGAAGTTGTGTTAAAAACTTTCATGATATAGGGTTAGCATCATATGTAGTACTTAGCAAGAATGAAGGAGAAGGATAATTCATAAGGCTAACTTCAAAGTTTTGGGATAAGGTTAATAATGATGTAAATTACTGATGATGAAATATCATTTCACATGATTTTTTTAGGGAAAAATGTTGAGAAGGGATGTTAGTGGAGGTTTAAACACAAAGTTAAGTCGAGAGAGGGAATGAATAGATATGGGGAAGGTATGATATTTTAAGTTTCATTTTCAATATATTGTAACAATGTTAATCAAATATCAAAAACAAATTTAGAATTACAATTAAATACTTTTTTGCTCCTCATTTTCTTACTATCCTAAGGAGCTTACAATTAGTTCTATTTGGTCTAGCCATTTGATTCAAAAAGTGCACTCAGTTTGGTGTGAACCAAGCGGTGCGGCAAGATTCAATAGGGAAGACCCTGCATCGATGTCCTATATGCCCTAAAAAAACATATGCTACCCTTCATTTTCATAGCCTAATAGCATAAAATTTTGTCGCACAATTAACTTAACATTTCCAAATAGATCCATCCAAAACAAAGCAAATGTGTTATGAAATATTTTCTCAAACAAATTTATAATACAACCATAAAATTTATTCATTGAGTGAGTTGGAATTTCGAAGCACCTGATATAGGGAATAACAACAACAACAATAATATAAAGCCTTTATCCCGATATTTGGGGTCGGTTACATGAATCCTTTTTATCCATTGTGTTCGGTTAAGACGTAAATTCTCATTTAAATCTAATAAAAAATATCATTTCTAATACTTTATAACTAAGTTTTTTAGGTCTACCTCTACGTTTTTTAATATAGGTCAAATCTAATGCGTCTACTCTCCTAATTGGGTCATCAGAAGGTCGACGTTTTATGTGACCAAACTATCTAAGACGACTCTCTGTAATCTTATATGCCATTGGAGCTAATAGTCAAGCCACTTATCCACCTAATCAGTCTCATCTCTACAACACTCAACTTAATTTTATGTTTATCTTTTAATGGCCAACATTTTGCGCCATAAAGCATTGCAGGTCTCACCAGCATTTTATAAATTTTTCTCTTAAGTTTGAGGGTACTTTTCTTTCACACAATAGGCCTGATTCATTCACCACTTCAACCATCCACTTGAATTCTACTAATACTATCCTCATCTATTTTACCATTACTTTAAACAATAGACCCGAGATTTCTAAAATGCATACTCTTTTTAATGAATTGATTGCCCAAAGTCACAATTCCTGTACTATATCTATTACTACTAAAATTACCCTCAATGTATTTTGTTTTAGATCTATTCAAACGAAAACCTTGAAACTCTAAGGTTGATCTCCAGGATTCAAGTTTTTCTTCAACTCCCTCTCTAGTCATATGAACCAAAAGAATATCATTAGCAAAAGCATACACCAGTGGACATCCTCTTGCTAATATAGGGAGATACACTTAAATTCATATCCAACTATCCAAAGATATTAATCACTTATTCACGATCTCTGAAATATTTTACATTGCTTTATATACTGGGAAGAGTATGCTTTTCTTCTATATGTTTTATTTATAAGGCTTAGGCTGATGAGGACATCGGACCATAGAGAGTCTACCGTAGGAGAGGCCGACGATCTACGGCCGTGATTGAGTCGTTATATTTCTAGTTTTTGTTGTTTGTACGAGACTTATTTATGTTATTAGTTTGTTCCCTGTTTTGCCCCTCTTAGTTGTTTATGTTGTGGTTGTTATTGAGGGGTATTGTTGTCTTTTATTTATTTTTTGTTTTGCCCTCTACTTATGTGATGTGTCATGGGTATTGTTGTCTTGTGGTTTTTCCTTTTGTTTGGGCCTATATATATGGTTCCACCCCCTCATGTAATGTTTTTATGTTTATGATATAAAATTCTGATTTTGTGTGATGTTGTTCTCTTGGAGAATTGAGAGTGTGAGCGTGAGAAGTCTTTGGAGAAGGCAAAGCATCACCCAACAGCCTTTGGGCTCTTAGTTTTTTTATCTAGCCGAATGCCCAACCCCCATCTCCTGCACCAGCCGAGCGTCTCCCACCTTCACTGGCAGCCCCTACACTCCACAAAATTCTGCCGCACCACCAACAACAAATGCCCTTTCATCTTCTCTTGCGTCCCTTAATATTCCAACATTAAATGCACTTGAACCCTTGGTATTCCGAAGCATAATTAACATGGAAATCAATTCGGATTTTCAAACCGCCTTTCCATCTTCCCAAGCAACCCTCATTTAGTATCAACTTCTCCCCTTCCAAAGCCAAACATTAATTCCCTCACTTACCCATGTACTATTAATTACAATTTAAAGCTAGTAATTAATTGGTCAAAATTTCTTTAATTACTTTTCCCTAATCCCTAACCTACTCACTCCTCTTCTCATGTGCTGCCATTAATTCCCAAGCAATTCCCTAAGCTCCACTTAATGTCGCCTTGACTACCTTCCCCTTTCCCAAGCTGGCCGACCCCTTGCCCTTCCCTCTTCCACTTCATTTCTTCTCCAAGTGACTACTTTTCTCTCCTATATCAGCCACACTCAAAGGAGAAAACAATGAGCATTCACATTTAAATTCAGCCAACGTCAAGGAGGAATCCCATAGAAATCTGAAAGCATTTTGCAAGAGAAACAAATATATGAAGATATCTATCAAGGAGCCCAACTACGTTATTATTGAGCTAAGTATCTAAACCATTCTCCTCTTAGCCAGATACTTGGTTAGCCTTCCTTCTTGGTAACATCGTTGCAAGTTTGTTATTTTATCCACTCTTAGTTCTACTTAAATTTGAGAGAAAGGACCTCACTTGCATTGTCCTTTGTTGAATGTTGTGCTTGTGCCGATTTACATGAGTTTTGTCTCAATTATCTTATTCTTTGCAATGTCAAGCCATTACATGCAAGTGTTAAAGTAACTTCACATGTTTCTAATTCAAATAGCCTACCTTTTTTTTGTAAAGTTTATGTTGCTGCGTTTTAATTAATTATAGCAAGAAATCTCTCTTTGTAGGACTTGATCATTCAGTCCTGCATCATAGGCTCTAGGCCTTTTGCATTGTTTTAACTAGATAAGATACTTAAAAATGAATTATCACATCTTGATTGTTCATGGATACTTTTTGTGCCCTTGGGCGTTGTCTCTTCTTGCTTTCCTTGAGAAAAAGACATGTATCTTCCAGCTGAGTGTTTTTATGTAATATTGGTCATTTTTATTCTGCTGATTGATGATCGATTTATTGTTGATTATTACTTATTTAGAAGTGCTTCAAGGCCTATTTGGTATGTTTTCTTGGGGTATGCTTTGTGAGTACTCTTCATCCTAGTGTACTAGGAGTAAACATTGCCATTTTCCAATGTGTAACACTTGCTATTGAATGCTAGATGTCGATATGTTTTCAGCAAGTATTTAATTTTTTTTTTCTTAGAATAGTTAATTTATTTATTTTCCCGCTTCTCACTCCAGAACTTTTACGGGTTCTTAGAAGGCTGAACTTGAAAGAGCATTGGACTGATTTATCTCTTCATTATTTGACTTTGGGTGCTTTGAAGCTAGCCCTGTTTGATAATACCCGGGCGCAAAATCATTTCAGAAGCATTGGTGGTTTGGAAGTTCTGCTTGATGGAATTGGTCCACCATCAAGTAAATTTTCAGACTCTAGTTGTACAATTCTTTGTGGAGATGACAGGTAATTTTAGTAGTAATTTGTGGAGCACTGCTCCTCTGTTTAAATTCTTTACAAAGTTAATTTCATTTTTGGAGTACATCTATAATGATTGTTCTTGTGACATTATTTTTACATCATATTTCTTGTCCTGTAATAGGTTTGATGAAGTAGTTGAGTCTATATAAATGATAATTTTAGATTTCAGTGGACCATCGCAGATACAAGATTGGTCTGTGAAGTGTTACTAGCTAATATTTACATTATTTTCACGTACATTCACATAAAGAAGCTATCCATATTTTAGAGAATTCAATCTAGTTATTGTTCCTTCAAACATGGATATCATTTATACATCATGATCTTGGAGTGGCATAATTTGGTCTCATTATTTTTTAAATTACCATGCAAATTTGTAGCTCTTACATACAAGATTGATCTGAAATTTTTATGAGCCAATAATTATTTCAATTGTTATGTTCTCACTCATCCATTTGAAGAAGTAATCACATTTTTGACTAATACAATCTCTAGATACTGTTCACTTCAAAATTTGATCAGGCTTGATGTAACCTACTTTTTGACCTGCATAAATTTATCTCTATTTTTTTTTTCAAATTGCTATGGAAGTGCTCTATTATTTTTTGTTGCTCATGCTGCATACTTCTATATGGAAAAAAGTATACTTTATTATTTCTACCGCATGTTATTTTTCCTACTTTATTTACATCTGCATTTTGAATGCTTTAAATTGAAGAATACAGTTGTTGGAATGCTGCAGAAACTATATCTTCAGGATCTTTCAGCTGCAAGTTATTTACATGGAAGTCCTGAGGGAGTCAGTGTATCCTTCAAGAATGTGTATATCATTGTGATTTATAGTTGGATTTGTTCTAAATATTTGATTTTTTAAATATTTAAATTTATTTTATTTTATTAAATTGCTGTTTAGTTCCTTTTTTTCCCTTAATGCATTGTGCTTTGCATTTTGGTTTGATGCTAATCCAAAGTCATCACTCTTTGTGTTTCTATAAGAATTCATTCTTTTAACCTTTGTGGTTTATGTTATTTTTTTGCATTCCACGCGGGCGTCTCGTATTTTGTTGAATTGGTTGATTCACTTATTTCTGTTATCAGTAGAGAACATTTCATTTTAGTTGGTCCTTAATTACTGCTGCAGTTTTGGGAACATGAACAATTTGCAGTTCATCTGTGAAAACGGACGAATACATAAATTTGCAAACAGTGTATGTTGGCCTGCTTTCGTGCTTCAAGAATTGCAAGCGAGCTTTGGATTGGCTGCATCTGACTCTCAAGTGGTTAACCCTCACCTGACAAAAGACAGCTCTGACATAAGTTCAGTGAAAATAGCCTCTTTCTTAGATACGTCAGGGTCAGATTGTTCAAATTTGACCGAGTGGACCAGGTATTCTATTGGATTAAGCAGAGCACTTTGTTCTTTCCTGCTTGCTCCTGAAGATATTGAATCTCAGCATGATGAAGCATCACTGAAAAGTTCCATGTCTGTCTCTTTGTGCTATTGGGAACTTTCTATAAGATGGACCATGAAGGTTCTACTCACCATTTTTCCATGCATAAAGGCATGCTCAAATGAAACAGAACTTCCCAATCATATAAGGTGAAATTTTTTGCTTTAAGGGTTTTTTCTATTCAGTAAATTTTTAGATTTATTTCTGTTTTCACTACCGCCTTTATGGACATATTTTGTCTTATTGTTTTTTTTGTCTCGTTAATTTCTGTGGCTCTGCATACAAATAAACCCAAGTGTTGTAGTTCTCCATTTATTTTTCCTGGGAGGAGTATAGTTTGAAATTTTAGAGGACCACTCTTTGAGTTTTTTATAGCCATAGATTTAATCAAAATACTAAGAGAGATATAATTCATTTGTTTTCATGTATGTATTTAATCAGAGAGATCAAGAGAGAATTAGGTTAGCTTGGCATGCATCGTATCCAAGCCCTTTTCCATATGGCCCTTGCAAAGTCAATCTTCGTCCAAAAGCCTTTTAAAAATGTATAAATCCTGAAAAAGTTAGGCCCTTGTACTTTTTGAATACCAGTTCCTGCTATTTTGATCTTCACCAGGATTATTTTTTTCTGAAATGGATATTGCAGGCCCTGTTGAAGTTTCCATGTTATGTTTTTCGTAACCTTAATTTTAATCTTCTTAAGTATAAATTATCATTATGTAAAATTTAGGTTAGTATCTTGGAATTTAGGTTTCTTTATAGGCAAATTAATAGAATTAATTGATATTATGATTCATATGAAGATAAATATTCTATGCATTCAGAAAATTAAATATGTGTAAGAGAATGCTAAGGAGATTGATAGTTTAGGGTTTAAACTTTGGTATTATGGTAGGAGTTGTACTAAAAATGATGTATGTGTGATTATTGATAAGAGTTTATAATATAATGTTGTAAAAATTGATAGAATTGGAGATAAAATTATAGCTTTGAAGATTATTGCTGATGATAAGTTTATTAATGTCATAAGTGTTTATGCTCCTCAATTAGGTTTGAATATGTGTTTAAAATTAAAATTTTGAAATGATTTAGAAGAATTAATACAAAATATACCTCTTGAAGAAAGAGTTTTTATTGTTGGAGATTTAAATGGACATGTTGGTAGAGAGGTAGAGAATTTTAAAAGCATTCATGGTGGGTATGAGTTTGGAGCGACTAATGAAGGTAGTAAGACTATATTAGATTTTGCTCTAGCTTATGATTTTGTAATTGCTAATACCTTATTTAAGAAAATTGATGAGCATCTTATCACTTATAAGAATGGACATAGTAAATCTGATGTAGTACTATGTATGAGTTAAATGATTGTAATAAGAATTTGCACTCTTTTAAGTAAGAGCAATAAGAATTAAAACGTTAGCCACTTAGCGATAATAGAAAACAAAAGAGGGATGCTTACGCTTAGGCCAAATCACACACTAATAGTTAAGATCACCAAAACAATTAAGAATTTCAACATAAGCAAATTTAGGAGATTTTCAATAATATCCCTAGATTAACAATGAGAGTAGATGCATAGAAAGTCATAACTCATTCCCTACGTTTATTAAGCTTTGGCAGATAGCTTTGCACGATTCCTTATGCTTGATTCACACCCTACAAGAGAAGAAGATTAGGGAGCAAATTGAAAAGGAGGAAAAGTTCACCCTCGTCGAGGCACGACGGTGATTTGCCACTGAACGGTAGAAAGTTACTCTTCGATGGCTTCGGACAGGGTGAAGATGATACGCTACAAGTACTCCTTGGCAGAATTGTCTACTTCCGGATTGACGTCGAAGAAAGTCGTCCGGAGGATGTCGACAATGCCTTGTTCATTGTAGACGAAGCTGGAGTCAAGTTTAGGATCAGCCATGCATCGATTTCGTAGTGTTGGAGTGGTGTAGAAGACGTCCTTTGCTATCCTTAAGGATTCCCCTTGAGAGAAAGAAGTTTCTCTCAAGAATCCAAGTGGAAGAAAGGGTGAGATTGTGGCCGGCCAAAGGAGGGGATTGGGGGAAAAGTAGGTTCAGATTTTAGAGGAGGGAGGATGGAGGAAAATTAAGAAATTATTTCCCTAGTTAATCCTTTAATTTGCAAAGGATCTAAGGGTGATTTGGAAAGAGGGAGGGGGGCGGGTATGAGAGAGGGAGAGGCTTTGAATTCTTTTCAAAGAGAGAGGCTTGAAGTTTGTAAAGTATTCAAGTGGACCAAGGAGGGGGCCGACGACATAGGGAGAGGGATTGGGAAAATAAGCAAGGGTTTTATTACTTAAATGAGATTCTCAAATTAAGGAATAGGATTTAATTCAAATTTAATTTGGGTTTGATTTTATAAACTCTCCTAAAATAGGATTCTATTTTAGAAAATGTTTCAAAATTCAAATTTGATTTGAATAATTGAAATTGAAAAACTTTCCCAAAAGAGACTAAGTAAGAAAAGAAAGTAATGACGAGGAATTTGAAAATTTGGAGGCAAGGGGAAGGGAGAGGTTGGCGACTAGGTGTGGGCTCCGAAAATTCGGCCCCGGCCTCCGCTCGCTTTTCTTATTCGGCGAGGGAATTTTAACTGACTAAGTTCCGGGGTAAATTTTGGAAGGCAGATGGGTTTGTAGATAAGACACTACCCAGAGATTTCGCCCTCATTTTGTGAGGACTTTATGATCTGAGTTCTGGTTTCCTATAGGCGCAAGCCCCTATAGTTAATTACCCCTCTCGATCACGAGAGAGAACTTTCGATTAAGGCTAGTCATCGATTAGATACGTATAGAATACGTATTATCTGGCATATAGTAGCAGCAATAGGTTTGGAATTTGGAGAACTGGATTTGGAATTTGAGAATTTTGGATATTTCGAAAGATTTAATATTTAAAATAGAAATTTCACCATCTTTCACTTAAAGCGGATGGTGGGGGAATGGATGATAGACCCGATCAAGATCCCATGGTTCCATCGTCCCGAGCCATCGTGGTCCCTGGTCTACTTAGTCAGAGGAGGTAGTCGACCCAACCTGACAGAAGGATCCTTGTCGGCAGCCATGGGTTACTTCGTCCAAGGGGACCTTGTAGACCGGGGTTGAATGTTTGTCTAAGGGGACAAATTTAAATCCACCTTAGCTAACAGAGGGCTTTGTGCCCTATCGATCATATCCTATTGATTCATATCTCAAGGATTTAACGCCATTAAGGAGCATATTGGCTCTGGCCATAACCGCTATCTGTGGTGCCATTTGGCGGCAAAACCACTCAGTTCAGAGGGCCCCGGGTCATAACCGTTTACCTGCAGTGCCATTTGGCGGCGAAACTGCCGGTTAGAGGACACGTACCACGTCCTTACTAGCAAGAGATTGTTTGAGAATGGATCCTAGTGATATTTTCGACTAGGCATTTGGCTCTTTGTGAGCTAGAGTAAATTTCAATTTGTCCGCCTCGGCAAACTTTTGCGGAGGGCGGATGATTTTGCTTTAAGTGGTTAATGGGTTGAATTTCAAATTTAAATATTTTTAGGATTTTGCAGGCGAGATTTGATATATTTTTTTTTCTTTTTTTTGTTACAGGAGGGGTCAACACTAGGCTAGGGTTTGGGTGGAGTTCGGGTAGCTTGGGGATAGGGGAATGAGTTGTAAGCAAGTAGGAAGGATGGGGGAAGGCGGGGTGAGAGCTTGGCCAAGAGGTAGGATGGTGTTAGGATGGCCGGCGGTGGAGGGATTTGGATGGGCCGTGGGTTTAAAGGGAAGTGAGGGAGAAAGAGGAGGAAGAACTCTTTCAAGGTTGGTGGGTAATCCGCTTATCTCTCTTAGGAATCTCTCTCCAAAGACTCTCAAGTTCTCACAAGAATTCAATTTGCAGGAATTTGATTATACTTCATTCATTAAATTCAAAAGAAACATATGTGGCTTATATATAGCCTCCTACAATGAAAGGGAAATAAAAGACGACAATGCCCCCAGGGATTACATATGACAAAACTCTTAACTAAGGGCAAAACGGGAAATGCTACTAAAACAAATACATAAAGCAAATAAATAAAACAAATACATATGAAGACTCAAAAATAGATCGGCGCGATCGTGGCCGTAGATCATTGGCCACGTCTCTGATATACTTTCCATGATCTGATGTCCCAATCAAAATCTCAGATTGATTATTTTCTTGTAAGAAAAATAGATCGTTTAGATTGCAAAGATTGTAAAGTTATTTCGAGTGAAAATTTATGTATCCAATATTGCTTATTAGTTTTGGACATTAAGATGAAGGTGCATATTATGAAAAACATAGTATATCGTTGTTCTAGGATTAGATGGTGGCATTTAAAGAACTCTAACAAAATATCTTTGAGAATAAGATTCACAATCTTAATATTTTGTTGGTGCATGAGGAAGCTAATGTTATTTGGAAAATAGTTGCTTCTAATATTAAAAATGTTGTAAATGATGTGCTTGGAGTATTAAAAGTAAAAGCTTTTAATAGTAAAAATAGTTGGTGATGGAATCAAAATGTTTTGATTCATTTATTTAAAAATAAAGGTGATGCACAGATTGTGTGAATTATAGAGGAATTAAGTTGATGTGTCATACTTTAAAACTATTGGAGAGAGTTATGGATCCTAGGTTGCGACATGACATTAATTTTTTCCAAAATAAATTTGGATTTATGCCAGGTAGGTCTACTGCGGGATCTATATATTTATTGAGATATTTGATGGAGAATAGAGAGAATAAGGAGGATCTACATATTATTTTTATTGATTTTGAGAAAGCATATGATAAAGTTCCAAGAGAAATGCTTATATTCAAGTCATTAAGGATATGTATGCTGGAGCAAACTTAAGCCCATATCTTTTTTGCTTTAGTCATGAATATTCTCACTAGATATTTGCAAGAGGTTGTACCCTGGTGTATGCTTTTTGATGATGATATTCTTCTTGTTGATAAAACCAGAGAGGGAGTTGAAGGTAAACTTGAATTATGGAGGGCGACCTTAGAGTCTGAAGGCTTTTGTTTGAGTAGATCTAAAAATGAATATATGTAGTGTAATTTTCTTTAATAATAGATATAGCTGGGAATTGTGACTTTGGGCTATCAAATCATTAGTAAGAGCGTACGTTTTAGATATGTTGAGTCTATTTTTCTGAGTGATGGTGAAATAAATGAGGATATTATTAGTAGAATTCAAGTTGGATGGTTGAAGTGGAGGAATGCATCGGGCTTGTTGTGTGATAGGAAAGTACCACTCAAACTTAAGGGAAGATTCTATAAGATGGTGGTTAGACCTGCAATGCTTTATCACACAGAATGTTGGCCATAAAAAGAGAAGCATAATGTTAAGCTAAGTGTTGCAGAGATGAGGATGCTTAGGTGGATGAGTGGCTTTACTCTTAGAGACAGGCTACGAAACGAGCAAATGCGTGAAAAGGTTGAAGTCATTCTAGTGGCAGATAAAATTAGATAGAGTCGTCTTAGATGATTTGGTCAAATAAAACGACAACCTTTCGATGACCTGGTTAGGAGAGTAGATGTATTAGATTTGACCTATATCAAGAAAGGTAGAGGTACCTAAAAAGACTTGGTTAGAAAATATTAGAAATGACCTTTCTTTATTAGATCTAAATGAGAATTTGACTCTTAAAAGGCACAATGGAGAAAAAAGGATTCTTGTAGCCGACCCCACGTAGTGAGATAAAGGCTTGATGTTGATGTTGATGTTGATGTTGTTGTATGTATAAATTACCATTGCTGTAAAACTCCATTATTTGTCATGGTATTACTATTATATGAAAATTAACTGTTAAGATCATAATTTGATTCAACTTAGCTATTTCTTGATGTGTAAAAATTGGAATAAAAAAGAAAAACTTAATTCATGCTTGATCTTAGAAACTGCCTCATATATCATGGCGTCTATCTTGTCTTGTATACATTTACTTATTTTGTTGATATTCTAGTTCCTTTTGATACTCCATCTTTCTTAATATACAATTCATCTGCAACAGAGCTTTAGCCAACTCCATGCAGCATTGCTTCCTTTGCACGATCAGAAAGATTCTTGTTTCTTCACCGAGCCTCCTTGAGGTCTTTAGGGAAGAGGGAATTTGGGAGTTGATTTTCTCTGAGAAGTTTTTCTATTTTGGGCTTTCTTTGGAAGAGTCTGATCTGGAACTTGAAGTGCAAAATGAACTCAACTATGATGCATTTGCTGTCTCTAAGAGCGGCAAGGATAAATCAAAATACAATGATGTTGATATTCTTCAACTGGAAGGAATTTCATTTTTGGAATTTGCAGCAACATTAAGCGACAGTACAAATAATTTGGTACTTGCTTTATTATTATTTTTTTCTTCTCAATATTTGGTTGTTACAGCAGATTCAATATGTTTCTAAGTTGTTAAGATAACTTGTACTTTTTGCTTAGGGACTAGTTTATGTTTGAATCTTTTATGATGGGCAAATATTTCATGATGTATTGGCTTATTGTATTTTATGGGTTTTTTTTTTCTGAATTTTTTGTAATATTATGTGGATTAGGTCAATCTGTTTCTTTTTGTGGAGTCTAGAGTTAAATCCTATTCATATGCTATTGTCGGTTTCTTTATCGAACTATCTTTTTTAAATTTGCTTTGTATTATGTGAGATGGAAAAGGTTTCTCACACACACGTACAAGTATACAGTCACCTAATGGAATCAGTTATTTTTCGCTTTAGAATTTTAGCATAGTAAATATTTTTTCATTTTTATATATGGATCTCTCCTGAGTTGTTTTTGACCTTACATATTGTAGTTTGTCATAATTTTGTAACAAATTAATCTACAGGAAATGTGACTTGCAACTAACGTAGGTTTTTTCTGTCAAAAATAAAGGCTGCTGCTTATTTGCTTATTGCTCTATCATAGATTCCTTTAGCTTCCATACTTTTACTTCTGTTTGATCCTTTCCTCATTATATGCTATTGCTTTTGTGAATTTTATTTTTCTTTGCCAAGATGCCATTTTTTTCATTAAATTATATCAATGTTTTGATTAGATTGATTAAATCATCCTTCAAAGTCTTTCGGGTTGATTAAACGTATCATCAAGAATATGCTATATGTTTAATATGGCGCATCTTTTTATAGTCTTTAAAATACCAACTACTATTATTTGTTTAAAAATTAATGTATTAATTTACAGCATGGATGGTCAACAACTAACAAGTGATTTCTTTTGTGGAACTCTGAAATTACCTTTGCTGGGCGTTTCAACTAATTTGTTTTGAGTACGCTGATAATTAAATTTCATAAATTAATTCTTTAACAAGGTTAAGATTAGTAATACTTTATTTTAACTACATTTGCAGCCAGAGTGCTCTGTTTTAGTACAAGCACTTGAGCAATCAGCTCGTAATCCTGATCTTGCGACTCTATTTTTGAGAAGTCTGCAACGGATTCTGCAGCGTACACCTGAGCAAAGTGTTTGCTCGTTTAAGTCTTTGGACGCTATAACTCGAGTGCTTAAGGTTGCTTGTATTCAGGCTCAAGAGGTCAGAAAATTCAGTATTTTTCTTCATGCTGAAGAGGGTGTTGCTGAAGGACGTGGTGTCAGAAAATTTCAGACAATCAAGACTTCCGAGGCTTCTAAGAGCTGGGTTAAATGCATGCAATCATCTATGGAACTCTTTACCGAATATCTCTCTATTGCAGAGCATGTGAGAAGTTTGGTTGTACACAATGCTAGCTGTATTAATTGTTTATTTGAGTTGTTTTGGGAAGAAAGTCTCAGGAAATATGTGATAGAGCATATTGTTGGATTTTTTAAGGTCGTGATAATATTTCTCTCCCTCCCTCTCCATCTCCCTCTCCCCATCTCTTCCTTCATCTTTTCTTCCTCAATCTCTACCTCAAACCTTCTCTCCCTCTTTTTATTTCTCTGTTCCTTTCTTTGTTTATCTCATATATTTCATAGTTTTCATGAAAATAAAGCTTGAAGCACATATTTTGTCTGCAGTTGCTTCCATTACATCCAAATGATCAAACTGCAAAGTTACAGTTATGCTCTAAGTATTTAGAGACCTTTACTCGTGCCAAGGAGAGGGAAGAATTATATCCTGAATTATCGATTGATCTATTGGTTAAAATGAGGGAAATCATTTTGATTGATCCGATTGTGAGTTATCTCGGGTTGAACATTCCTTCTGTTTTTAACAGGATAGCCATTTTTTGTTTTAGTAACAATTTAACAGTCTGTGTTACTATTTTTCATCCTACTGCAGTATTATCAGACGTTGTTTCGTGATGGAGAGTGCTTTCTTCATATTGTTTCTTTGCTAAATGGAACGTTTGATGAGGAAATTGGGGAGCAATTATTGCTGAATGTTCTTCAGACTTTGACTTTGTTACTTAATGGAAGCATTGACTCAAAGGTATTTGCATATATTTCTCAATTGATGCATTCTAAATCATTCAAGTTTTAGCAACGACAATTTTCTGAATCATTCCACTTGTTTTATATTTGTTTTGTGTTTGTCTACGTAAATTTTAAATTATGGGGTCCCTTTGGTTGTATGTTGTGCAAGTTCTGGTTCAATTTGCACTTCTAGTAGTTTTTCCTTGATTGATATGTTGCTCCTAAAAATTCTCTTGTTTTTTACGTGTTCATTATTGAACTTTTTAGGCCATTTGCTTGGCAGGTTCTAGTTCAAGTACCATCTAGTCTTCATGTCTTACTTACCGATTCTCCTAATAATGATTTTGGAGTGTTATAATATGCACCATGACTATATTTTTAGTCTTTGATTGGTTTTTGTACATATTGAAAGATAAATATGTTGAGGGGTTGTTGACCTCCATGTGTGGTATAATACATGGCGCCTGATCAAATGCGATAGCAAAAATGAAAGACGGATGACTGTTCTAATGCGTACAGAATGCCAAAATGGTTTAGATAGACCCTCGTTTATTCCCTGAGTTGCTGGGTACGAGGGAATGAGAAACATACATGGAGATGAGAAATTTGTAGGGTATTTTACTTGCGTGCTCTAAAAATTTTAGAGAAGAATAATATATATACATATAAAATTAAATCTGACGTTCTTACAATCTTTTTGGATGAAAATTCCTTGCGAAGTCTCTCTTCTTAATAAAGGGATTGTTGACTTTGTTATCTTTAATACGTGGAAAGATAATTTGTTAGATGATTTTCCTTTCTTCTTTGGATATTGTTGCACCATCTCAAATATATGGAAGTTCTTACAATCATTTTGGAATTTCCTCTCTATTGCTAAACTTGAATTCTGTTTTCATTTCTTGGCGAAACTTCTACTCCAAGAAGCATTTCAGTTATCTTTGGGACGTTTTTTTTTCTTTTATTTATATCATTTCGAAGGAAATGAATGCTTCATGCATTTCAAACAAGAAGAGGATAATATCTTGTTTAACATTATCACTTTTGTTTACTTTTGGATCAACAACACTAAAGGAGGCTGATAAAAAATGAACAATTTCATGAAGTGGAATCACTTTCCTACTACTTCTTTAGAGCTTCTTTCTAATTCTAGTTATTCCTCATTGAACTTCTCTAGGAAGTTTATCTTTTTATATTACTTTTATACCTTTGTAATCATCTTTATTTGCTATCTTTGTTATTTAAGGAGAAGGGTTTGCCTAATAGTAAGTCTATTGCATAAAAAAATAAAATTTTTATGGCACATGCACCTTAGGCATCTAAAATAATTATCAAATGGGTTATAATATACAACAACAACAACATCAAGCCTTTGTCCCACGACGTGGGGTTGGCTATATGAATCCTTTTTCGCCATTGTATTAAAGTAATATAATGGATCACCCACCAACCTTGGAGACGGCCGGGTTCGTGGTTCTTATTCGTTATCTATTTTTACTTTCCCTTCATCACCTAGCCGCCCGTCACTTAACTTCCCACCACCACCGCCGCCTAAACCCCACCCACCACCCAAACCACCGGAAAACCTCATCTCCACCATCACCCCACCGAAATCCCCCCTCTAGCTCACCAAGCCGACGACCCCTCCTCCCTCCTCCCTCCAAAATTCAAATCACCTCTTGAATACTTTCCATAATTAATTATTCTTCATTTGGGAAGACTTAATTTCAAATTTCAAAGCAATTTGAATTTTGAAAATTTCTTTCCTAATTTAAGAAATCTATTTTAGGGAAGTTCCTAAATTAAATCCTATTTGAATTTCAAATTCAATTTGGATTTAATTAAAACCTTTCCTAATTCCTAAACCCAAATTAAGAAGTCTTAAATCTCTCCCATCAAGCCCCTTAATGCTACCGGCCCCTATAGGATGGGTTTAGGAATTATTTCCTAAAACCCAATTCCCCACTTTGGAAACAATTCAAATCTCCCCCACCTCCTTTGGGCGACTTCTCCCCTAGCCCTACCTACTTAATTTATTTCCAATAGGGAACCTCTCCAATTAGAAGTAAAGTAATCCCCTCCCTTCGCTCATGCCCGCCTCCCCCCTCTCTGTTTCTCTTCCTTAATTATTCTCAACCAAGGGGATAATCAGGAGGTGTTTAAATTACAATTCCCTCCACTTAAAATCAGCCCAAAACCTGAACCACATCTCCCCTACTTTCTCCTACTTTGATTGTTGAGAGAAGCCTCTCTATTTCAAGGAAAACAACGAGGATATGAAAGGGCCACCTCCTTCAACACTTCTACGCAACGAGATCGATGCATGGCCGATCCCGATCTTGACTACAACTTTACCTATGACGAGCAAGGTTTCGTGCACATCCTTCACTCCGCTTTCTTCGATGTCAATCCGAATATCGACAATACCGTCGAGGAATACATGGAGCGCATTTTAGATACTTTTGTCGAAGCCATAGATGAGCAACTTGGTACCGTTCAGTGGAGGATTACATCCAAACCATGACAAAAGTTTTTTAATCTTCATACTCTCCTATTTTCGTAATTTAACTCACTCTTGTGATTTGATTTGATTCATGAAGGTCTTGTCCGCCTATCTCTGCTAAGCCTAGTAAGCGTAGGAATTGAGTTAGTGATGTAGGCAAGCATTGGGAATGCTAGCTTCTTGGATTCTTTGCTCTTTGGGCCTTGGCTGCTCTCGGGTTGGGCCTTGGCTGCTTTGGTTTTGAGCTGGAAAATTGGGAGCTAATTGGCTCTAACTCATTAATGCTTGAACTAATGTTAGCTCATTAATATGAAAAGGGATTCTTCTTGTAAGCTCATTAAGTGGAGTTGAATCCTTGCCTTTTCCCCTTCTTTCTATCTCCTCAGTTTCTTCCTGTACTGTTTCCCGTGACTGCTTCCTTCCCCCTTGCTGGGTGCTGGTTTTGGTCTCCTGTGCTGCCCCTTCGGTTTCCCCTAGGTGCTGGTCTCGTGGCTGCTTTACCTCCCTTTGCTGGGTATTGATTATGGTCCCCTGTGTTGCCTTTTCAGTTTCTTCCCTGGCTGTTTTCCCGTGGCTGCCTCTACGCGGTTTCTTTGCTGTCTTTTTGGGTGTTGTTCTGGAATAATTTCTGGATTGGTTTGGGCTGTTTGACTCCCTCTTTCCTACATCAATTGGTGGCTGTTTGGCTCCTATTTCTGTCCAGATTCATGGCTTTGATTGTTTGATTTTTGGGAGTCTTAAATGATGCAATTTTTTCAAGAGTTTTTACTGTTTTTGTTGGCTGTTTTGGACATCTGTTTTAGGTGTGTTTTGAGCTTCTTTTTGTTTATTTATAGGGATGTTTTGTGGCTGTTTAAGAGTTTTTTTTTTGAAAGCTTATGATGTGATTTTTGGAGGCTAAATCTGCAGGTTTCGTCGTAGAAAAGCTTGCGAGCTTGTTCCATTCCTCTCTTCTTCTAGGAAAGCTTGCGAGCTTCTCCTCCTTCGTCTCAGACTTCTTATCTCGTTCTTCTCTCCGCAAGTGTCCACCCCACATGTATCTTTCTTCTCGATGGATGGAACGCAAGTTTAGGTGCTTGTTTTATTTTAAAAGTTTGTATGCGTCAAGAGTTGTATGTATCTTTCTATTATATAGGTGAAGTTGCTTTTGGTTTAATTGTTATATTTTGTCTATTTTAGGGTATTTCATGTAATTTTTTATTGTCCTAGGAAGAGTTACTTTTGCTTGCAAAAATTAGGCTTTGTCCTAATTTTTGCTTGCATCAGTTAGCTTTATATGTTTCTAATCTTATTGTTAGCGTATAGATTTTTTTGTTGAACGCTACTATATCTATTTACTATTGTGATTCTAATTATTTGATAATTCAAGCGTTTGGTAAGCGGCTTAGCCTAAACGTAGGCACCCCTCTCTTGTTTTCTTTTGTCGATTTGATCGCTAAAGGTTCTGATCTTAATTGTTTTATTCAAGAGATCGTGCAAATTCTTAACGCATGCTATTAAAGCATTATAGTTCTGCATCATCTGATATCAGAGCATGGTTAGCTTAGGATATTCATGCTAGAAATCATCCTAGGTTGTTGCTTAACCATTCATATTTAATTTTGCATGCATATCATCATTTAGATCATTCTAAATCACTGTTGTGCTTGCTGTCCAGTAAATTTCTACACTAATTTAGTGAGCTTTAGGGTAATTTCTTAAGTATCTAGGTGCTGTCCTTAAAAGAACAACATTCCTAGTTGCCTGGATTACTTAATCCCTTGTTGTAATTTGTTGTCCAAGTATTTTCTGTATCATTTAGTGTCATTCATAGCATCTAAGAGCTACCCTCTATCTAGATTCATCCCCAAGGGCCCCTAGTGTCTAGCTATGGACCAGGAACGACTTGGAAGGATCTTAGAACTTCTGGTAGGTCAAATGAACACCATTAACCAACAACTCAAAGAGAACCAAGCCGACTTAGCCGAACTTCGTTGGGATACTACTGAACGTTTTGATTGACTTGAACGATCTAGGGAACATTCAACCCCCTACACCCCATCTAGTCCACCTTTTATGTTTGGGGATGATACCTACCAGGATGAGAGGCAGCATCGTGCCAATCATCGAATTTCTCAGTATGGACATGACCCTCACCATGACCCTGACATACCACTTATGAAGAACATTAAAGTCGATGCTCCTACCTTTGATGGCACTCGTGATGCTAGGCTCTTCCTGGACTGGGTCAAATGTATGGACAATTTCTTTAAGTGGTATAATATCTTCGAGGCTAGGAAGGTTAGTTTTGCTAGGAAGTTATATTGGAGGCAAATTAAAATTGGTATATAAGAATCAATTTAGTATTATGTTAGGAAGTTATACCATGGAGGCAAATTTTGAGTTAGTGCAATTAATGGTAGGGATTAAGTAAAGGATCTTCATGTAAAATTTTTTTTAAACATGAAATGACAAGTTTGAGTACTAAGAGAAGTGAATTGATATCTATAAAAAAATGATGTCTATCAAATATATGT